GAAGCTGCTATTCATGGCTGAGGTGGGTAGTGCTAAGGCTGAGCACACACACCTGACAGCTCTACAAAAGAGCATCAACTGTGTGAGCATCAGTGTAGCTTAATGAGGACAATATGTCTGAAAGACAGTGAGACACACGACTCATCAATTTGTAAATAATGAAGGTCAATATGGTGAAAGAAGAATAACCAGCAGAGATATATCAAGAATAAACAGTATAAATTAATCTAGCTTTCTTCTTTGACAAATTAACTAATTTTGTGGGTAGGAGGAATGATAGATATTAGAAAGTTATTGCCACTGTGAATGTTAACGTTCTTCTGAGCAAACAGCTTAGATATACTCAAAATCTAATTGCTAGAACGTGAACAGCCCTGTATTCAGAGTGTGGCTGATGGTCAGTCTGGGAGCATACAGACTCCTTTTAAAAGCTGTTAAAACTACTACGCCACTGAACGATTCCATCAGTGGTTGAAAATTAAGTACAGCCATTAGCAGATGATACCAGAATGAAAAGGAGGAATTTACAAGGCAGAAATACAATTCTAAATTATTTAACTGGAGATAGCTCATGAATTTAGCTAACCTTAACGAAGACTGAGCGCTCAAAAAAAAAAAAAAAAAAAAAAAAAAAATTATAATAAGATTGCACTCAAAAAAAGAAATTCAAGTGCTTAAGTGCAAAATAACTTGCTGGGCGAGAGAAAGATATGAAACACCGTAGCCTACAGAGGGACTCGGAAATTATTAGCACAACAATGGTTTCGCACAGAGAAAGTGCTATTTAGTTGTTAGTTATCTTTCCTGGTTGTTAGCCAGCCAAGTTTAAAACAGATCTGAAATACCTCCGAATTAAATACATGCTCTTTTAATTTCATAGCATGTTCATGCTGGGGGGAGGGGCACAGGACCATGTCTGTGTTTGTACAATTTCTCCAAGGGAGCTAGGGATCAAACTTCTTGACTTTGCTGAAACAACATCCATAATAAACATTACAACTGGTAGTAAATATTTCAGAACTCTATCCTTAGTCTAATGCTGAGTGACCTGTGGCTTATCTGATATCAGAAGGACGCTATCAAATTTTTAAGGTCGCAGTTTTCACACATGTAGAATTTGTAGGTGCTCGTGGAGCCACGCAGCGTCTCAAAATGTTTTATCACAAAGT